CGGCATTCACTATTTTAACACCACGTATTGCCGGATTTGCCGGTAATATGAATTTAATTTTCGAAACGGGGATTGATTTAGATTGGTGTTTGTGTGTTTATGCTTCACAACGATGCGCCTATTCATAAACCAATATACGTGATTGATAGATAATTCATCGTTGTGTTCAGACACGTTTGCGTAACTGAAAATGTTTTCGGCATTAGGAAAAATAAATTATCGAAACACATCACACAAAATCCTTTAAAAGTACAATGCAATACTATTACCTAAAACTCTGTTTAGAAAGATAAACTTTACTCCACAAAACGCGATTGGCCCTTCAGGTCACTGAAAATCCAATTTAATCTACTTAAATAAAGCTGATACAGTTGAAAGGACCCAAAACATGTCAAACTTAGTGGTTTGTGTTGTTTTACAGAATTAAATCATACAGACATCCGAGGGAACAAGCAGAGAATGGTTTCAACAATCACGGGAATTTAACTTGTTCTCGAGTTCCCTCTTTCCTTGAGTGTACAAACTTTACTATTCTACCACTTGGCGTGTTTTGCTTTTCAAAGTGAGCAAGACAGGATGGATGGGATTGGGGGAATTCTTCATCCAAGCATTTGAGTTTTTTTACTTTATTCACGACTTTCGGTCCATACTAGAGTGGACGGATACTAGGCAAACTCAACATCCAGAGTAGAGTAAATCAAGACTTACGACGGTTCATGGATTCATGAACCTTGTTTACAAAATCCTAGGGTGAAAGTGACAACTGGAATTAAAACAACGTCAGCTTTTTTTGACTGGTTAGGGTCCAAGGGACCGGAAAAGAATCAATATTTGGTTTAAAAGCTACTACATGGAAACTACAGAAATGTCTTATCTAAAACAGGTGCAGTTACATAGTTATCTCGACCGGCCTTTAAGCCGATTGTGATAGATTAACGAGAAATCTATAGATTAACACAACAGGAAGGTTCAGGTAACTAAATAAATTTGGCGATGGCAGGAACGCCTAGACTCGGATTCGAACAGGGCTTCCGGTGATGAAATCCATGCGGCTCAACTGAAAAGCCTTTACAACCGTCATAGCCGCAGGCAACAAATGCCCAATGGGGTGGCAATGGAATCATTAAAATCAAGCTTGATAATAGTGAAAACTACAAGTTGAATGCGAATGCACGTCAACTATCGTAAAGCATCAGCTTGCATCTCCAAGAGTGCACATAACCAAAAGCAGGACTGCGCCCCACGGCTAATGGCGTCTTTGGTATGCAAAACCAACCCCTGATACACAATCCCACGATCCCCGCACTAGATATGCATAGGGGGAGGGGGATGCAGCAACACATTGCCATGGCCACAATCTCACGCGTTTGTCTGAATAATTGACGCTAAACCAGCTGCGTCCCATGGACAACAGTACGGGCATCAACTGAATTAGTGGACTTACCAACGTTAACGAGTAATAACCTTACATTACAAAATGGCCTAAATGGGCTTGCACCGAAGTGGCTTATACGATGTTTTACAAAACGCACACCTACGAGACAAGTAAAAAAATGCTCGTGCATAAAACATTCAGTGAACCCTAAGTGATTCGCCTTCTTAGTCTCCTATTTCACGATCCCGAGCGCATACATCCGTACACTGAATTGGGGATCGTTGAACGGAATCTGAACAGACGAGTTCAGCGCGAACTGCAGGTGCGAATTCACTCGAAGATAAACATCTG